GAAAATAAAAAGGAAATCCCACAGTGAGCAAAAACTTTAAGGATTCCATCTAAAACTGGGTAATCTCAGAAGGCCTCCCTGGGAAGTTGTTGCAGAACTGACCCCCACAGGTGCACAGTAAATATCTGAAGAAGAAAAAGAGCAGGGAAAGGAAGACAGAATGGGAAAGAGAAGTTTAAAAAATAGGAACAAGGATAGCTAAGTAATTTAGTTGGTATATAATAGTCTCTTGGCAAAGCGTTTATGCGTGTGGATTCTTCTCTCAAGGGGAAGGACTCGTGGCATTCTTGTTTGGCCCTGGAGATTAAGGGACTAGGATAGTGGGTCAAAGGGGATGTGAGTTCCCTCTCTGTGATGTAAAATTAAGACTTAAGATTTAAGTCATGAGAAGGTGTAGGAAGAAATTGTCCTTACCTCTGATCTAATTGGCAGGGTGTGGGACCAGGACTGTCAGGAGGAAGACGAGTCGTAGATAAGCAAACAGCAAAGGCCACCTTCTGATCCCACGTGCCGGTGCTTCTGGAAAGTGAGATGTTCCCATGATGGAAAGGGGAGACATTATTAAAACATTGGACTGAGCCTCACATATATCATTACAGTGAAAGTTTCATTCCTCGAGTTACGTGTAAAGCCAAGCCCAGGCTGCTCCTTCGATGACCTGGACATGGGGGCATAGAGGTCCACAAGAATTCCTTCTGTAATTGAGACCAAATATTCGTGTGCTCTACTAAGCCCTGAATCCAAAAGACCTCAGCGTCACCAGGTCAGAGAGGAGATCTTAGGACTGATGTCATTACCATCAATCTCCAGACCTAGTTCTTAAAATAATTCCCATAGCAAGGAATGAGGACCAGCATTTGTTGTTTTCAAGTTGAACTGGTGGGGAATGGAGAGACATCCTTATAGGGAAATTTTTTTAAAGTATGCTTCTCTTTAAGTAATGATGAAGCCTCTATTGTGTGCATGACCATGATGTGGACATTAAGCCATCTTTCTAACAGCCTTCTGGATAGACTTGTCATCACAAAGGTTTTAAAATAACTGCTCAGAAAGTTGAAAGCAAAGAGATCTGAGGGGTGAGAGGAATCACACCAAAAGTAAGTAAAGGAGGGCAAGTAGAAAACGTAAAGGGAGAGCATGGAATTTGGGGGATACACACAGGCTGGCAGAGTGGGGAGCAGAAAATAAAAGGGGATTCAAGCTGGCAGAAAGCTCTCATTTGCCAAAACCCTCCAGTGAGCCACTGAACAAGACTCCGAACGGGCACGCCTTATTATAACTGCATTAGGCTAATAACATAGCAAACCTCCTCTTCTGGTAAAACGCTTGACTGTAGATAGTAAACTCTTAGCTATAGGAAAACATTTTATTTAATTAGGGGACGCTTGATTATCTCTGGGAGTGCTCCATTAGCGGGCTTTGGTTGTCTGAGTGTATCCATTATCAGGAATTTGGCTTCGCGGGTCCATTGAGTGAGCTCCACAGAGGTGTGTTTTTCCGCTTAACTCCTTGTGGCCAAGTGTCGCCAGCCGGGCCGTGTCAGCATCTCTGTGCATCCTTCAGTGGCTTGTCAGAGAGTCCTAGCGGTGGAGAATTTCCCACACATGGGCGCCTCATCCCCCAGCGAGCAGGAGGTGGGAAGTCAGGCGGAGATGCCTTCCAGCGCTGAGGGGGCCTCTTGGCATTTCCCTGGCAGCCTCATGCTTCTCATCAGCCAGAACCCAGGCACTCATTAGGCTCTTGATGAAAAGCCTCCCAAAGAAAATGCCAGCAAACTGTGCCACTGTGCTGGCAGGAAATGAAAACGGCTCCCAGCAAGCGGAGCCAAGAGAGCTGTTGAAATGAAAGGTAACATCAAGGGTGCGATCACCGAGGCTCGCAGGCATGCGGGATTCGGGAGGCAGCTCTCTGCTTCTGCTTCGCTGGGGAGAGCAGGAGGCCTCTCGTCTGTCGGCCGAGTCAGCTCCACAGAGGGGCTGAGATACACAGGAGGGTGGGTGGTGTGAATCCGCTTTGTTGTGCCTGTGGAAACCCAGGGGTTTGGGTCTTGCACCCTGCCCCCCAAAAGAGTCTGTCTTAGGGAAAACAAATAATAATAATTTGTTGTTTTTACATTTTCCGGGCGCCAAACACTTACAGTTAAGGAGAAGGAAGTTTACGAAAGCCATGCAGGTCCTATAAAAGCGGGTCAGGCCGTGTGGACCTAGGAGTCTGGCCAGGCACAGGCAAAGGGGCGTGTCTTTCAAGTGCAAAGGAACATTCTGCGGGCTGTGCTACTTGTCTCCTGAGGCTACGGTGGCCATCGAAGAGGCTAGAGTGCAGCAGAAGGCCGCACCACCGTCAGCCCAGGCACGCAGAGGTCTTCAGGACACTAGCTGGGGCCGAGGAGTGTCCCCAAAGACGTTCAGGTGCTGTTCACCGGACCCTGTGCTCGTGCTGCCTGGGGTGGCAAGGGAGTGTTAGGCCTGCGCCTGGCTGACACTCAAGCATGAGACCACCCTGATTATCCCAGTGGGCCCATCAGTGACATCCGCCAGCATGGAAGAGGGAAGGCAGAAGCGGAGGTCAGCGGGATGGGATGCCAGGACTCAGCCACGCAGGACTGGCTTTGAAGCCCCAGGAAGGGGCTGCGAGTAAGGGATGTGGGTGGCCTCCAGGAGCTGGAAAGGGCGGGGACACGGATTCTCCCCCGGGGCCTTGAGAAGGGACCGCAACCAGAGAAAACCGTGTGGGACTGTGGACTTCCACAGCCACAAGGCAACAAGTCTGTCCTGTGAGGGTCGCGATGTTTGTGGGAATTAACAACAGCAGCAATAGAAAATGGAAACAGATATTTACAAGATTTATCTGAAGCTCCAAAAAGGAGTTTCCAAGTTCACTTACAACTCTCAGGGCAAAAAAGTAAAGTAAGGAAGCAGTGAGAAGAGCCAACAGGCACATGGATGAGTTAGAACTGTAAGGAGTGTTACACCCACCTTCTTAGCTCATCTTTGCAGCAATCTTACACGGACGTACTATCGTTTTTAATCTGCAGATGAGGGTTTGTTTTTAAATAAAAACCAATTATATTCTCTAACTAATTAAAATCCCCCTGCGGTTCCCCCCCTCACCTACATGAAACCTGAGCTTCGTATCCTAACCTATAAAGCTCTGTGTTGATGGTACTCAGTGTCCACTACTGATCATCATCACCTGGGACCTTGTGAGAACAGCAGACACAGCCTATTCTACCGACTTCTTCAATCAGAATCTCTGGAGATAGGCTCTGTGTTTTTAACTTGCACTCCAAGTGATCCTCCTACAGGCTAAAATGTTTGAGAGGCACTGCTCCCTGTGATGGGCACTTACCCACCTCTTCAGCCAAGCGGTGACCACTTTCACGTTGGCTTGGGAAGCTCCTGCCACTGGCCTTCTTTCGGTTCATGAACATGTTATGTTTGCTCCCGTCTTGGGACTTGAGCATAATCCATTCCTTGCCTATTCAGTTCTTACCTTAGAAGTTTGCCTGTTGGCTAATGTCATTAAGGTCTTGAGGTTTCCCTGATTGTGAGCCCAGTGGAGTCGGCTCATGCCTGTTATTTCAGCACTTTGGGAAGCGGAGGCAAGAGGCTTGCCTGAGCCCAAGGTTTGAGACCAGCCTGGGCAACTTGGGGAGACCTCATCTCTACAAAAATAAAAAAATTAGCCGGGCACCTGTGGTTCCAGCTACTTGGAAGGCTGAGGCGAAAGGATCGCCTGAGCCAGCAGGTTGAGGCTGCAGTGACAGTGAGTATGCCACTACATGCCAGCCTGGGTGACAGATTGAGACTCCTACTCAAAAAAAAAAAAAAAGAAAAGAAAAGAAAGAAATAGTGCCGATCCCCCTGTTATTTCATTACAACTTATGTCTATGATTTGAGAAAAATCAGGGCTCCACCAGTCATGAATAGAAAGACATGATAAGAAAATGGACATTCGTTTTTAACAATGTAGATTTAAGTTTTGCTACCCGTTTTGGCAATCGTAATCACAATGCTTTTTTTTTTGTTCTTTTCTTGAAGACTCTTGCCTTTGTTATCTTTGGAAAAGCGTTTAGTGCTAGCAAATCCTGTCATGTTTCCATCTCATCATGTTGGATGCAGTGTTCGTTTGAATTCTCTTTTGAAGGGAGGACATGGTAAGCAAGCACAATGCTCAGCATATACTCTCTACCTTAGCCAGGTGTGTGCTGAGCTGCGTGAACTGAGCTCCTTTGTGACGGATCAGCACTGGCGCTTTGTCAACTCCTCAAGTTGGCCATTTTTTACAATGAGTCCCGTTGCATCTCACAGATCTCTTGGCAGGTTCTTTAAGGTTGACTGTTTTCCTCTTTTTTAAAGTTAGCTTCAATAGATTATTTTTATAGTGGAGGCATTAAAATCACATCAAAGCTTGCTTCTATTGAAAAATAATTGCTTTACTCAGAGGAGCATCTAGCATTTTTTTATCCATCACAAAAACAAGCCCCTGTTGCGGTTAATAAATCCCAGATCATTGGTGGCATTCTGTAATAGAAAAATATTTCTCATGTAGCAGGCAAGGGTGGGCATGTCTGGTCGGTGGATGACTTTATCCCGACCCATAGGGCCTCAGAACCCTCGGTGTGCAGCCAGCAAATAGGGAAAGCAGACAAGGTTCCCCTGCTGCTTAAGCCCAGACTTGGAAGTGACATTGCTTTGGCTCATATTCCCTTGGTGAGAATATGTCACAAGGCCACAGTTGGATGCGAGGTAGATAGGAATGCGTTGTCCTGGGGTGGGCAGCCATGCCCAGTGACAGATGACTTTGTGAAAGAGGAGTGTGAACACGAGTGCGCAGTCAGCCGTCTTGGAAAATCTAGGTGAGTTATCTTCATGCCACTTAACACTGCCTTGGGAACCAAGTGTACTGCTTCGTCACAGCAAACACAGGGGCCCCCCAAAACTGGAATTATGTTTTAGAGGGTGGGCCCCTTGTCGTACAGGCTTCCCCGACTAGGCAAGTGTTCTAGGAACCCATCGGCGTCCGTGTACCTGCTAGCGTTGTGGGGAGAGGCTGAGTTCCACTTCAGACATGTTTGCCCCTTTCACGATGGGTGATTTACGAGCACCCCTGCCCACACTGCCCGCCCCAAAAGAGCATGACCCCCGCGCCCCACCCTCCCTAGTCACCCAATCTCACCCTGAGCAACTTTTTTTCTGTTTGCTGGGCTGAAAGATGTACTCAGAGGGAAATGTTTTGCATATGTGGAAGAGGTGAAACAGGAAACGGCAGAAGCACTAGAAGGCGTCCACCTCGATAAGTTCAAACGCTGTTTTGAGCAGTGGAAGAAGTGTCTTAGTAGGTGGACTGCATCAAGTGAAGAGTACTTTGAAGGTGACTGGAGTTCAAACATTTAGCAATATATACACAATTTTTTTTTGAGTTGGAGTCTCACTCTGTCACCAGACTGGAGTGCAGTGGCCGCTCCCGGCCACCGCAGCCTCGACCTGCTGGGCTCCCGCGATCCTTCTGCCTCATCTTCCAAGTAGCTGGAACTGCGGG